GAAGGAAAGAGGTACGAACGAATGGAAGATCTCCCAGAACTTGATCCGCGGCTTTGAATTACGGTCGCTCTTCTGAGAGATATCGTACGACGTTGCGCCAAGTTTTAAAGAGCTACAGCTCTGCATAGAGCGAACCCGTCGCGGAGTCACGTCTCGTTTTATAACGGATACGAATGGAAATCAGAAATATCCTTTTTCAGATCCCTTTTAACCCTTTGCATTTGATGTTAGCTCTGTGTAATATCGATGTGCATTACATTATGAAATTAAATTCGGATCTTTCCGGATACCGGATCAGAAAAATAATGATAAAAAATCAAATGGTATATTACCATTTGTATCTTTTAATATTTGCGCGATTATATAATTTCATAATTTTCAGATAAATAATGCATTAAGTTATTATACATAGAATATATGAGTATGAAGGATTAAAATCCTAAATATGTTATCACAAAGCGGATTGCGTTTACGCGGAATTCGCTTGTATTAACGCTCGCATGTTATTCAAAAAAGCATTCTAACAGATTTCTGTAATGACAATTTTTGTAATTTCATTAATATAATTTGGAAAATTAATAATAATACACGTTTCCCTATTAAGTAAAAATATGTTTCGAAATTCTCGAAATATTATTTTGTTTGTTCAATTAATTAATATAAAATTACAATTTGCCGCTCACACAAGATAATAATGTTACCTTTGTTGTTCACTATACGCCCTCGTTATCACTCAGGGCGTGCATTTGTTTAATTGAATAACGCGGTCGTAAAACTTAATACATCGATAAATATCGTCGTACTATCAAAATTTCAAATAAATTCGTATGTTTTACGAAGTGTGACAAAATATGAAGCCGATTAATAAATGTACAAAGCAACCGAATAGTCCTTAGCTTTTTTTGTTTCTTAACGCGTAATATAGAACGTGACGTGGAGAAATTCCTATAGATTATGTTAAAATGTTCGCGTAGCTCCATTCGAGCTTATCTAAAGTTCGCCAGCAAAGTATTCTTTGCTGAAATCCAGATATGAAAGTTCGCGCTGCAAATGGAAGGAATGTCGTGAATTTTAAAAGAATGTGCTACCTGTCGACGATTGTTTGCAGATGCAACAGATGCCACTTGTCGCGGAAACAAGATGCTACATCCTTAGATAAAGTCCAGAATCTTCAATAAACTGAAAATTAAGTACCATATATTTACGTTTATTTCAGTTTCAAAAATTTGCTAATTTGACGCAATCCTACTTTGTATTATGCATAATTTGACTAATCTCGAATTTAAAAATGCAACAAATATTTGCTATAAATGCACTTATCCGATCTTTTCCTTTCTTTCCTTCTTTTACATAATGCCCGAATAATTATGTACGATTAGTTCCACGCTTCTCGAACTTTCAGCAACTTTTAAAAACATTTCTTTGCGCAAGTTGGCAAGATAAACTTGCCGAAGCAGCTGGACAGAACTCATCGGACGAGTTGCGCGAAAGACCGTTCAGAACTAAGTCCTGGAGAGAGTGGCACGCAGCCGCCACGAACGAGGGCTAATAACCTAGGAAGTTAATTACGGCCGTAAACTGTGAGGGGGTTGTTTGACTACCCCATCGCGCCGCTGAGGGTGGCTGACATAAGGTGGCCTCGTTACATTGGCCACGCCAGTTTCCCGCCTTCGTCGCGTCGGTCTTTCCAAGCAATCATGTGTCACGAACTATTTCCGAGATGAAAATTGGCGTAAATTATAGCCGATCATCGAAAATCATACAATCATACAATCAGAAAAACAAGCTGACATCCGATAACGCGAGGTCATTTTATAATTAATTAATGGAAGCGCGCGCAGCGGAAATTAACTCTTGTCACGAGAGAACATAATTGCGAACAGATATGATTTTTGAGATTACAAATAATTATATTTTGATTTTCTCTCGTTGATTCGTACTTGACGCATTTCACAATTTGCATCGTTGAACCTTTTGCTGCTATGTATTGTTTATTTTTCTGTAAAAATAAGAATTAAAATTGTATACGTTTTTTCTATCAAACATATTTGCCGATAAGTCGAAAATGTTCCAAATTTTAATATTTTTCTCATGATATTTTTACCTGTTATTTAAATTTGTATAAATTGTTAAAAAATTGTTAAAAAATCTATATGTGCACAATGGAAAATAAAAACAAATAAATTTCACTAATAAATAAATTGCAACGTTCGATAATAATGTATTAATTCTCCATTTTCATCGCTGTAAACGTTGGTTGAAAATGACTTAACGTGTTTTAGCGTCGGGTACTCACGCATGATAAGATTAATCGAATGAAGATGAAGTGCTTATACATGTCAACATATTTCCCCGGGGTATACTAATATGCTAGTAGAAACGTTCATAAATAACGCCGTGAGACTAAACAGAAATTTTGATAAACTTGAGAGCCCGTGGAAGTCAACAATGGGAATAGCGCTGCTAATAAGAATGATACATCATCTCGGTGAAATTGTCTTTATCGCCCGTCCGGATAATGAATGAATTAAGTTGGCTATAAGCCATGAAGAAAATTACCCATATAAATAACACCCGGAGACAAAACTTCACGGTGATAGCCGTATGAGAATTCCTGCTGACGGTAATATTTTCCGGCCATCCCGCTGCATTCGTAACCATAAATTATTCCGTGAAACGCAAACGTTTTTGCCGGTTATGTTCTTTAGAGACTGCACTTTTAATCCGCGGCCAATTTACACATTGTCGCTTTATTACTTTTTTCTCCTTTGTGTAATTTGTGCGATTTCTCCTCGTTGATTCAATATTCCTATTTGGTTATAATTATTCGATTTCGATCTGATTAAGCCGAAGTACAATTTCTGAAAGCGCCCACACGCAATTTGTAAAATTGCATTTTTATTACACAGATTAACAATTAATTTATTTCGCGGAAAAACTGATATTTCCGCCTTTTATCGGCTGAAAAAGTCTGTTTATTTGAAATATGAAAATTGCGGATAAAGAGATATTCATCGTTGGAGTGAAACCGAGCATAAGTGCTCTTTCATTAACTTCCTTTATGCCGACTTTTCCATTTTACGCTTCACCAATATCAATAGATAAGCTGTGTTTACATTGCGTAGGAAAGGTACACTTCCTTTTCTTTCATTGGGATCTAACGCACGCGTTTTACTTCAAACGGGAACGTTGCGACAGAATATATCAAAGAATCGCAAAGTGAGAGCCGCCTTTCCGGAGTTGAATGTTCCAGAGTATCCGACAATGCCGAGAATAAAAGTAAAAAGGAAACTGCGATGGGACTGTTTCTATCAAGACTTTTTCCATTTATCAGACAATTTTCCAAAGAGAAGAGAAGAGACAAAAAAATATAAACAATATAGTCGGAGGAAAAATGATTATGCATTTTTATTCATTCGCCATTTGTGCGTAATAATGTCAAACTCCGTGTAAAGAAATTAGAAAAACTTTCCATCAACTTGACACTTTTTATACGTTATTTTACCTGTTCATTTGCTACTTGTAAAATTTCGAAGAATTATTAAAAGTATGGAAAAACTGCAATTGCCAGCTCGTCATAGATAATATTATAATATTTAATTCAATGTATGTAAAAGAGTATTACTTCAATTTATTCTTATGCGATGAGTTATTCTTTTCTCAATTGCATTGTAACTTTCACCGTTCCCTTTACAATGCAATTTCCGCTTGAAAAATGTTGAATGATGGCACTTTATCATATTAAAAAACGAAATTCACTTCAAAGGATGTCGCCGTTGAATTTTCGAAATACAAGCGCAATTTTTATGTCGTTTTTGAATACACGCCAAGAACTTAAAGAATGAAAAATGGCCCTCGAGGTGGAAAAAAAATTTTGCAACGATGTCCACGATATTTCGCGGTAATAGCAAATTTATTCCCGATAGAACACCCGACGCCCGTGCCGAGATTAAATTGACCGGCTGTATGAGAAGGTAAGAAATGCAGGTGGCGAAACCACCTGTATAATTAGGCGTGGGTCGCGATAGCAGTTACGAGGCCAACACGCATAAACGCCTTGCACACGCGAGATGGTGCGGGTCTGGATATTTTGCCATTTTTCAAACCGGCCGGGGATCGAAAAATCTTATCGCAGCCGCGGCTGCGAGTCGATGTTATACGCGGTGTTACGAGGTCGGTACTTTTCGCAGGAAACTGCAAATCTCTTCCTGTCCGAGAACGAGTTATAAAAACGTACGGGCCGCGCGATTCCGCGAATTTCTAAAGTGGCCGGCGAAATCGATTCTCGTACACGTCGATGCACCAAAGAGCTAACATCGCATCAAGGAGCGCGTATCGGTGTGCCTCGCCGCAGGTTTTCTCGCGATGAAATCCGCGGCGTGGCATTATTTTGAAATTTGAAATGCGAAATTGTATTATCAACGATACATTGCGAAACGTGCGGCGTATGCGAAATGTTTTATGGAGCACTATCGATTGCTCGCAGCCGTTCAAGTTCAAGAAACGATTACTTGCACAAATGCTGCATCGATTTATCTTTGCGAGTCCACAAACACTTGTAAAAGTGATGGCAATGGAATAATTTTGCGTACATTGATTACGAGGTAATTAAATTCTTTACCGATAACGCTTCACAAAAATACATGATAAGTTTCTTAGTTCTTGATTGTGCAATCTATTTCTTTGTTGTGGCAAAAGACCTGATGATGCAAATGCGAATAATATTTTCATACAATTGCAAGAATTATCACGTTCGAGATACTATAAAAACTAGTCATACATACATATGAAACTACTTGGCAGTAGCTGATCACATTGCGAAGAATGTCAGCAGCTATCGTCAAGTTATCAGTCTTTGGATACGACCACACGTAATTCAAAACTTATCAAGCACTCTAACTAAGACCGATAAGACAACAATTTCATATCTGCTGTTAGGAATTTTTTCCGAAGCTCGTCGTCTATAAAATGTATCCGAGTGGATCAACAGAGTCAAACGATCACAATGCATCGTACGTGCGTTCTCATTGCGGCACTTGTCGCGCTGACCAGTGCCGCGGCGATTTCCCCGGAAGCCAGGGGTAATAAAAACTGGTACAAGAACAGTCTGGTATATCAGATCTACCCGAGAAGCTACAAAGATAGCAATGGAGACGGCATCGGTGATTTGAACGGCATCACGAGCAAATTGGAGCACATCGCGGACATCGGCGCCGACGCTATCTGGCTGTCGCCGATCTACCCCAGTCCGCAGATAGATTACGGCTACGACATCGCCAACTACACCGATGTCAATGAAGAATACGGTACTCTGCACGATTTCGACAGACTCGTTGCGAAGGCAAAGTCCCTCGGACTGAAGGTACTTCTCGATTTTGTGCCCAATCACAGCTCTCACGAGCACGAATGGTTCAAGAAGAGCATTCAGGGGATCAAGCCTTACGACGAGTATTACGTTTGGCGCGACGCGAAAATAGTCAACGGTACCAGGCAACCGCCGAACAACTGGTTGAGCGCCTTCCAAGGCTCCGCCTGGGAGTGGAACGACGTGAGGCAGCAGTATTATCTGCATCAGTTCGCCGCTGGTCAGCCGGAACTCAACTACAACAGCATCGCGTTACAACAAGAAATAAAGAACGTGCTGACGTTCTGGATGAATCGCGGCGTGGAAGGTTTCCGCATTGACACCGTCAATCACTTGTTCGAGGATCCTCGCTTCCTGGACGAGCCGCCAACCAACATACCCGGATTGCCGCCCGACGACTACGATACTCTGGACCACATCTACACGAAGAATCAACTCCCGAGTTACGACCTTCTCAAGACCTGGCGAAAACTGTTGGACAGACACTCGCCGAAGGCTGACACAAAGATGTTTCTGACCGAAGCTTACGCAGATTTAAATTTCACCATGTTGTACTATCCGGCAGGCTCAACCGTACCCTTCAACTTCATGTTCGTTTCCGACCTGAATAACAAATCCACCGCGGCCGACTTTAAACGTTACGTAGATCGCTGGTTGAATAACATGCCAGAAGGTTCACAGTACGTTCCAAACTGGGTGGTAGGCAATCATGATAATCATCGCGTAGCTTCCCGATACGGTGAGAAGCGGGCGGATCAGCTTTCCATGCTGTCGACCATTTTACCCGGTGTCACCGTGATTTACAATGGCGACGAGATCGGCATGCTGGACAGAAATTTTACATATGAGGAAACTAAAGATCCCGCCGGATGCAATGCTGGACCTGACAGGTACTGTCATGAGTGGAAATAAATCCGAATAAAATCATATCGTTACGGTCATATCATATTTTTGAAATCCATAAATGAATCATTTTGCGGTTTTATAATGTCACATCAAACTGAATGACAAACTAAAAAGATGATTATATCAAGTCAAAAATATCGTTTTAACAGAAATTATTTATAATTCATACCAATTAATATAAATACATTGGAGATATTTGTTTTCATATTTTCATAACTCAATTTGTTTTTAATAATCAATCAGTCAATTAATTCATCACTAATTCAATCAATGATAACTAATTGAAAAACTGTAATTCGTTAAAAAAAAATAAAATTTATTACGTCATCTTTTACGTTGGCTTGTTAACAAAAAAAATATATAATATGCCTTTGAAAACATATTACTTATATTAATCAATCAGCATTAATTCATTTAAATAATCTCAAAATTATATATTTTAAGGTACCATCTGAAATCGAGAGATCCGGAAAGAACGCCTTTTCAATGGGACAACACCGTTAGCGGCGGTTTCTCTACTAGCAGTAAAACGTGGCTTCCGGTGCACAGCAATTACAGGACTTTAAATTTGGCGGCGCAAAAGACCGCGGCAAAGTCCCATTACAAAGTATTCAAGTCCCTGACGAAACTAAAGAAGAAGCCCATTGTCGCGCGAGGCTCCCTGCAGACCACGTTGGTCACCGAGAAAATCTTAGGTGTAGTACGGCGACGCAACAAATCCGTCGTGACACTTCTGATTAACTTCGCCGACGAGCCGGTCACCGTCGACGCCAGGACTTGGTTGAATATTCCAGAGGAGTTGATCATCTATGCGCCCAGCGTGGACAGCAATCTGGTTGCAGGATCGCGCGCTGACACGACTCATTTCACCGTGCCCGGCTCAGCCTCCGTTGTACTCACAACAGCGGATTTGGTTTAGTAAATTTCTACCTATCTCTCATGCTAATCGATAGTTCTCCGTAAAGTGAAGTTTCCAATATGTACATATAGATGTATACAAGCTATTTTCTCTGCGGGCAGACAGTCTTGTATAAATCTCAAAAGAGAGATGTTCGAAGAAAATGTATTTATAAATTTCTTAACATCATCAAGTGTTAGTATTTGCAATTAATTATTGCGACTTTTACTTGAAATAAATGATTTGTTTGTTCATTTATGTGACTATGTATAAAATATATTTTTTTCTTCAAGAAAATAAATTTTATTTAAACCGCAAATGTTGATTTTATTATAAGATGCCAAAATTTATGCTAAAACGATATCAATTAAATTCTTAATTTGGTTCTTCCGCAGATTTATTAATGAATTCTCATTTATAGATTTTCCGATTAACTTCTCAGACTTCTTCATTTTCTTTTAATAAAGTATATTTATTTTTTATTAAAATGTTTGTGAAAAAAAGATTACGATTTTTTTAAGTTTAACCTTTGCCATGATAAAAACAAATTAAAAACGTCGTGTTACGCAGCTCTACGACGTGCATCGAAACATTATTTTGCTCTGACTGACATTCTGCATATGAAATTGAAGCGTACAATTTGTCGTATAATGTAAATTAACATATCTATACAAATTATCGTATAAATCAACGATAATTATGAAACATTCATAATCGCGCATTTAAACTCTTCAAAAATGTTACATTTTCTCTTGTCCTTTGATTATTACTGTTTCAAATTTCAAGAGTTTTATGCGAACAAAAATTAAATTCATTTATTAATGACAATGTTATTTTGCAAAATCACGTATTTTTGCAAAACAAATTTAAAGCAATTTTGCAATTTTCGATTCTGCAATTTACATTTTCTCTCGTTGTAAAACAAAATTTGAAGATAAAAAAATAAAAAATTTTTAACAATTGCAATATTTATTGCAATAAATATTTTTAATAAAATTACAATACTTATCGCGCTTTCAGATAATGTACAAAGGATTGTATGAAACTATATGGTATCAATTATATAAAAAATACCAACTATACCGTGATTATCACTGATTCTTAGATACAGCAAGACGCAGTCATGAATTTATCAAAGTGATAATATTCCAATACCGTATCTATTACAAATTTTTAAGAGTTTCATCTCATAGTATAAAAGCGTATCGGAATCCAATCTCGAATCAGTCACTATGCATCGCCTCTCCGTTTTCATTACGGCGTTGGTCGCTCTGACTACCGCGGTATCTGCCGAGAATGCAAGCAGAGATTGGTACAAGAACAGTCTCGTGTATCAGGTTTATCCGCGAAGTTTCAAAGATAATAATGGGGACGGGATCGGCGACTTGGACGGTATCACGAGTAAGTTGGAATACATCGCGGACATCGGCGCCGACGCGTTATGGCTGTCGCCGATCTACACCAGTCCGCAATTCGATTTTGGTTACGACATCTCTAATTATACCGACGTCGACAGGGATTACGGTACCTTGACCGATTTCGACAAGCTTGTGGCCCGTGCGAAGTCCCTCGGATTGAAGGTAATCCTTGACTTCGTACCCAATCACAGCTCTCACGAGCACGAATGGTTCAAGAAGAGCGTTCTACGGATCAAGCCCTACGACGAGTATTACGTCTGGCGCGACGCGAAGATGGTAAATGGCACTCGGAAGCCACCAAACAATTGGCTGAGCGTTGTCCAAGGTTCCGCCTGGGAATGGAATCCGGTACGAAAACAGTATTACCTACATCAGTTCAACGTTGCTCAAGCGGATCTCAACCATCGTAGCGCCGCGCTGCAACGAGAGATGACGAACGTGCTAAATTTCTGGATGGATCGCGGTATAGATGGCATTCGCATCGATACCGTTAGTCATCTATTTGAAGACCCCCGTTTCCCGGACGAGCCCCGAAGAAACGAATCCGGCTTACCAGACGACGACTACGAAACCTTGGACCACATTTATACGAGAAATCTAGTCGAGATTTACGATGTTCTCCGATCCTGGCGGAACTTGCTGGATAATCACTCGAAAACGTTCGACACGAAAATGATTCTGACTGAGGCCGACACGGATTTCGCATTGTACTATGAATCGGGCTCGAACGTGCCGTTCAACTTTATGCTCATCCTCGACCTGAATAACAAATCCAGCGCGGCCGATTTCAAGCGCTCCATCGACAGCTGGATGAATATCATGCCTAAAAATCCAGCGTACGTCGCGAACTGGGTCGTGGGAAATCACGATAATCATCGCGCGGCTTCCCGATTCGGCGAGAAGCGGGCCGATCAGCTCTCCATGCTCGCGATCGTTTTACCCGGCGTGAGCGTGATTTACAACGGCGACGAGATCGGCATGCTCGACAGGAATTTTACGTATGCGGAAACCGTGGATCCCGTCGGATGCATAGCTGGACCCAATAGGTACTATCGTGAGTGGAGATGAACCCGAATAGAACCGTATCGTTGTGTAGCGCAGTAAATTTGAAATGGAATCTATCGATGCGTTATTTTATTAATAAACCGTACGTTATCTATTTTGTAACATTACTATCAACTTCGTAATACTACAATTATAACGTATCGTGTAATTACGCTACATTATTAAAAGACTGCTATTAATTTATACAATGTTTTCATTAAAATTTATAACAAAATATATTATCAATCAATTCGATTCTTAATATTAAATTCTTTTCCCATCATTAAATCGTACAATTAATTTCCGTCTTATCGTCTTTTAGATATCATTTAAAATCGAGGGATCCGGCAAGAACGCCTTTTCAATGGGACAACAGCACCAGCGCCGGCTTCTCTGCCAACAATAAAACGTGGCTTCCGGTGCACAGCAATTACAAGAGTCTGAATTTGGCAGCGCAAAAGACCGCGACGGTGTCCCATTACAAAGTATTTAAGTCTCTGTCGCGATTGAAAAGGAAGCCTGTTATCGAGCAGGGTTCCACGGAGACCGTTCTGGTTACCGAGAAAATCCTGGGGGTAGTGCGACGACACGGGGTGTCCGTCGTGGCGCTTATGGTTAACTTCGCAGACACGCCGGTCGCCGTCGATGCTAGAACTTGGATGAATATTCCAGGGCAGTTGATCGTCTATGCGTCCAGCGTGCACTCCGAGCTGCTTGCAGAATCGCGCGTTGACACGACTCACATCACTGTGCCCGGCTCGGCCTCCGTTGTGCTCACCACAGCAGATTTGGTTTAGTAAATTCCCGCCTATCTCTCGTGCTCATGGATAACCCACCGGTAACGCGAAGTTTGGGATATATATGTATAGACGTATGTATCAAGCCACTATGGACGGATCGTCTTGTATGAAATTGAGAATAAATACACAGAGCCAAGTGATATTTCATTTCATGCGAACAGAGATGTACTGTGTTTTCGATATTTTTTAATTAATGAAAATTGTATTTATTATGTATTGTAATCATTATGGAAAATACTAATTTTACTTGGATAAATGTGAAATAAATATCATGAACCTTTGAAAGAGAGAGAGAAAGAGAAAGAGAGAGAAAGAGAGAGAGAGAGAGAGAGAGAGAAAG